TTATTAAAATACTGCAATCTTTAAAACAAATGTGCAGACATACCTGTATTGGCATTGCTGCTTGCAATGAAACTCACTACCAAAGGTAAGCGATTGAACTGCACCACCTGCAAGGAGAGAGAAGTGCTCAGCCAGCAGCTAACACATCGTGCACACCAGGGCTCTGATGAATTCTTTACACAAAAATTCTTTCTGCAACCAGCAGCCTCCTCAGTTTAAAGGGCAAGCAGGAGCAAGAGCCACAGAGGTGACTTTTCAGTGTACCTGTTTCTCAAGATTCATGGCTAAAAACACCAACAGAACTTACCCTATAGTACAGGGAGCTGCAGATGGAAAACCTGGCATTTCCCTCCACCTCCACTGTTCTACAGAGTGCTGTCCACCAGAACCCTGCCTCAGCTGCAGACCCTGCAGATTACACTGTGGAGACCACACCCTCCACGGGAAACAGGAGGGCAGACAGGTTTATTGTTTTAAAATACTGTTCCCTGTACAGGAATATCTGTTCCTCCATTACCAGGGAAACGGCACTGTGGGCACAACAGTAAGCTAGCAGCATCAAGAGAGTCAAAGCAATGTACTAACTCACTCACCCACTTAATTTCCAAACAAAGCTTGACACACTGCAGGCTAAACAGCTGGCCAGTTTACTGCAGCCATAATTAAAAGCTCTCAGGACCACCAGAACTTGTGAAGGAGCAGAAATGTAGTAGATGATGGACTTTTGGACACAAATAATCAATTTATTTGTGAAAAATGTGAGGGGTATTTCAAAGTGTTCTTACCTCAAAGTCATACTGGCAGCAGGATTAGCTATGAAGCAGGCTGCGTGTGCTTTAATTCATGTTAGGTGTCACTAGTTATTAACATTGTTTATAAAAAAGAACATAAACCCTTCATAAAAGATCCAGAAGAGCATATGAGCAACATCTGCAAATTCAGAACTACTACACTTTCCCATTGTCAACAAGTAAATCTCAAGTTTTGAGAAAGGTAACAGAAGTTTAAAAAATACTGTGAAATTTAGGCTTAACTAAAGCTGTGTAAGAAATAAATCAAAATTACTTCAATAGCAGCCTAGTGAAAATCTACCAGAGCTTAAATAACCTTCTTTCTCTTGCTCATTGTAATGCAAGAACAGCTCATGTCACTGAGGACAGGGCACACTGAGGTCACTCACCTGGTAGGTATTGTAATAGCAGATGATACTTTTGTTTTTGGAGAGTCCTAACTTACTGCCCTGATCTGTGGCAAGGGCAAAGGTGGACAAAAAGCCAGGTCGCAGTGCGTGTTCTGGTGCATTATCATTGGCAACTGGAACAAAACAAGAAAATCCTTATCTTTACATGAGGTCTCTGACTGCATCCCAACCCTCATCCAGCTCAGTGCTCTACCAAAAGCAGAGAAACATGCAAGACCTCTGAGGTGCTCCCACAGGAACACCCAACAGTTTTCACAAGCTGTACCTCATTTAATGCTCTCTGTATGATCAAAGCTCCTTATAGCAGCATCCTTCCTAGCACACCTAAGAAATTTTTAATCCTTTTCCTTTAGGATGCCTGTGCTGATGTCCCTTTGGTTCAATGTCCCATTGTGCCCATTCCAGCCCTTGAACAGATTACTGGCACACAGTCACTTGACAGCAAACAGGTGATGATGTGCAAGTTCTGCTGGGTGTTTGAATACTCTGGGGCACTGAACAAAATAAATCTGCAATACCTGAAACTTTGTATCCTTAAACTATTGTACTCACAAGCCAAAAACATCTGAAACAAGTACTGCAGAACATAAAAACGACAGTACCAAAAAGGCCAACAAAACACTGCCAAGCTCTGTCTACCACTCAGTATCTATCAGCCTGTGAGGGACTTGAAGATACAAGGACCTTACAGCACTCCAACCCCTGTCACAGAGGAAAACTTCCACAGACTGCAATTACAAACAAACAAAAGGATATATTTAAAGAGGTACATAATCAACTAATGAATTTCTACTTGAAGTCCAATTTAATTCTACCACTTGGGATATTCAGGTATTTGGCATAACAGAAGACTTTTCTGTACTTCTCCACCCCCTGCTGGTAAATCAGGATTTCAGCTGCAGAGCACAGCAAGAAGCTGAAGTTACCTTTGATAACAGGCACACCATCTCTATCTGAGACTACAATAGCATGAAGACCTTCAACGCTGGAAAAAAAAAAAAAAAGGGAAGAAGAGACACCATTTTATAAACACAGTAATTAGTAGGAACGGGTTTTTTTGTGTGAACAAATGTGCAAGAAAGGGGAAAACTTTGAAAAAACCTGATGCCCTCATTAATTTAGTATTTGTTCTGTTTAGTACAGGTCTGGTGGCCCCAATAATAGGAAGGACATGGAGCTGCTGGAGCAAGTCCAGAGGAAGCCACGAAGCTGATAAGAGGGCTGGAGCACTTCCCCTGCAAAGACAGGCTGAGGAAGTTGTGGCTGCTGAGCGGGGAGAAGGGAAGGTTGGGTGGAGACCTCACAGCAACCTTCTGGTATCTGAAAGGGGTTTATAGGGAAGCTGAAGAGGGACCCTTCATCGGGAACTGCAGTGACAGGACAAGGACTAATGGGTACAAATTGAAAACCGGGAAATTCAGGTTAGATATTAGGAAGAAATTTTTTACTGTGTGGGTGGTGAGATACTGGAATAGTATCCTATTGCCCAGGGCGGCTGTGGATACCGCACCCTGGAAGTATTCATGGGCCAGGCTGGATGGGGCACCGAGCAAGCCGGTCTGGTGGGAAGTGTCCCTGTGTGGCAGAGGGCTGGCACCGGATGGCCCTGGCCGCCCGCCCCGCACGGCCCCGCGTTACCTCGGCAGCTTCTTGTACAGGAACCGCTTCAGGTCCTGCGGGCAGAGACGGGCGGCGCGTTACTCACGGCCGCTCCCAGCACCTCAGCACCTCCGCACCTCCCTCCCCGCCCGGCCCGGCCCGGCCCGGCCCGGCCTCGGCATCCCCCGGCCCCACCCCCGCCACAGCCACCGCCCGCGTCCCGCCCGCCCCGCGGAGCCGCACTCACGTCGGCCATGGCTGGGGCCCGCCCGCTGCTGCCGCCGCCGCCACCTCCGCGGGCCTGCGAGACAAGACGAGAGGCGGCCCCGTCACCGCGGCGCGGCCACCGACTCTGAGGAGGGGAGAGGCCGGAGGGAGGGGAGGGCGTGCTCCGTCCCCGAGGCCCGGCCGGCCGCCACCCCCCGCCCTGCCGCCGTGGTACAACCGCGCCGGGAAGGGCGCTCGGCTGGGCCGAGCCCACCGCGCACCGGGAGGGGGGCGCGGGGGGCGCCCCCTGCCTGCCCGCCCCGCCGTACCTGTCCGCGCCCCCGGCGCGCCCCGCACGGCTCCGCTGCCGCTGCTTCCTCTCGGAGCCGCTGTCACATGAGCCGCGGCACCGCCCTCCCGGCCCCGGAACCGCTTCCCCGGCGCCCCCGCCCCGCTGCGCCCCGGCAGCAAAACAAACCAAAACCAAAACAAACCATAGCGCTTCGGTTAAAGGGGATCAGCAACCGGCAACAAATGTGTTTTTATGCCGAGCAGTTACTGCCACTCTTCCGCTGTTGCCTCTTTCCCCTACTTTTGCATCTAGTCTATCAAACCATGAGCCTGCAGGCTAATTTAACAGCTAATGTGAAAAAATACATAGATTAATTTAGTAGATGCCTACAGGGTAACAATGGTAACTGCATATCTATTTTTAAAGTCTTCTATCAGAACGCAGGACCCTCATGGTAGATCTCAAAAAACCTCCAAGCTTGCTCAGCATGTATCAATGCTTTTTCTCTTAAAAAAAAAAAAAAAAAAAAAAAAAAAGCTACTAGAGGCCAAGCATAGAATCACAGAATAAATGAATAAATTTGGTCGGAAAAGACGTCCCAGATCATCGAGCCTGAACTATGACTGAACACCACCACGTTAACCAGACCATGGCCCTGAGTGCCACATCCAGTCTTTCCTCAAACCCCTCCAGCAACAGTGATTCCATCACCCTACTGGGCAGCCCATTTCAGTAGTAGTCACCTTTTCTGTGAAGAATTTCTTGCTAACATCCAACCTGAATCTCTCCTGACACAGCTTGAGATAATTTTCTCTCATCCTATCACTGGCTGCATGCCAGAAGAGTCCAACCCCCACCTGGCTACACCCTCCTGTCAGGGAGCTGCAGAGCACTAAGGTGCCCCTGGAGCTGCCTCTCTCCAGGATAAACACCCCCAGCTCCCTCAGCCACTCCTCACAGGACCTGTGCTCCAGACCCTTCCCCAGCTCCATTGCCCTTCTCTGGACATGCTCCAGCACCTCAATGTCCTTCTTGCAGTGAGGGGCCCAGAGATGGACACAGCTCTTGAGCTGTGGCCTCACCAGTGCTCAGTACAGGGGGACAGTCACTGCTCCTGCTGGCCACACCACTGCTGGCACAGGCCAGGATGCCCTTGGCCTTCTTGGCCCCCTGGGCACACCCTGGCCCACGTTCAGCCACTGCCACCAGCACCCCCAGGTCCTTTTCCACTGGGCAGCTTCCCAGCCACTCTGTCCCTGCCTGTGGCACTGCCTGGGGCTGCTGTGACCCAAGGGCAGGACTCGGCACTTGGCCTTGTTGAACCTCATTCTGCTGGTCTCAGGCCATTGATCCAGCCAGTCCAGATCCCCTGCAGAGACTTCCTGCCCTCCAGCAGATCAACACTGCCACCCAACTTTGTGTCACCTGTGGATTTACTGAGGGTAGCCTCAACTCCCTCATCCAGGTGGTCAGTAAAGATACTGAACACGACTGGGCCCAATACTGAGCCCAGGGGACACCACCAGTGACTAGAGCATTGCGGATACCTGAAGATTTTGCTTAGATGCCAGTATCAAATTAAAATTTTAAAAAGTGTAAATTAAAAAAACAATCACTTGCTAGTGTTTCTGAACTTCCAGCGAAGTTTCCAAAAAGCCTGAAACAGAGATAAGCCACTTTTTGCAAGTAACAGAGGAAAAGGTCATTCAAAAGAACAAATTTATTTGAATACTGAGAATCCATACCTCCTTCTTAATCCAAGCCATGCACACACAGCAATTTGATAAGGACTTGGTCATATTAGAGAGATACTTAAAAGAGAACCCCATAAAATCATCATGTGAGCTTCTGGTAGTATTTTGAAAATGCTACCTGCAACAACCTTGGTCTTCTCATTTATTAAAATATTCCCTACTATACACTAAAAATGTTTAAAAATGCAACTTTTTTTTTTTTTATTATTTGCAGCCATGATGCTCAGTGATCAATTTTACTTATTTCCCTGTCACATTTTGAATAAGAGCTATGCAAAAGCATCTATGAGATGGCCCCTGTATTGCTATTAATGGCAATTTATTCTCCCATCCCAATGACAGTCATTCTGTACATGGAATAAACCAGTACTGAAGGGAGAAGTGTATTCTGCATGAAGGATAACATCATAACTAAACAGTGCATGTTAATATTACTTCTAAAAATGTGGAGAAGCCCAATACTCAAACCTAATTCCTGCCAGACTGAGCAGTATAGGAAGTATAGTTTATAATGGTGTCCTGCTTTCAGCTGGGATAGGGGAGCTACTTTTCTTCCTAGCAGCTGGTACAGTGCTGTGCTTTGGAGTCAGTATGGGAATAATGTTGGTTACACACTGATACTTTGGCTATTGCTGAGCAGTGCTGACCCTAAATCCAGAATTTTCAGTCTCCCATGCTCTGGCAGTGAGCAGGTGCACAAGAAGCTGGGAGGGAGCATGGCCAGGCCAGCAAACCTGAATGTGCCAAAGGGATATTCCATCCCATGGAGCATCTCATGGTCAGTGTATAACCTGGGGAGGCTGGTCAGGAGCTGCTGACTGCTCGTCAGGGACAGGCTGGGCACTGGTCAGAGTGTGGTGAGCAATTGTGTTGGGCATCACTTCTGTTTCTTGGGGTTTATTACTCTCTCCCTTGCTGTCTCCCTTTTCATTGCTATTGATCACTGATGTCTGATTTTGTTTTGCTGATTAAACCTCTGCCATCTCAGCCCAGAGGTTTTACCTGAGTTTGGTTCTCCTCCCATCGTGCTGTGGGGTGGGAGCAGCTGGCTGCATGGTGCTGGGGTCATGGCCAAACCACAACAAATGGCCTAGTTCTTTCCTATATTTATTACATCATATTTAAGTTAGAGCTTCAGGAATTTATTTAATATTACCTGCTTTAAAAAAACCCAAAATGCTTTTACTATTGCACTTTCCTTCTATTTGACAAAAAAAGCTACAACAAGTCAGCATAACAACTGCTTAAGGGTGAATGAAATTTATGAACACACAACCTTAAAAAATATTCTTGACCTCCCATTTTAATCCTTTTACAGCATTTGTTACAAAATTATATTAAAAATATTTATTATTTAAAGTCGTCTCTGCTATTTAAATGCATCTGTTACATTTTTAGTGCTGTAATGTTCTACCATTTCTTGGAAACTTGTAAAAGAAAAAAAGACTGTTTAAAAAAAGGTAAAAAATTCCAATTTAGACTTGTTTTACCCAAACAGAGAACTTGTAGGGAAATGTTCATCAGATGTGAACACTGAACTGCTTGTGACTCAGGATGCTCCATAAATAGAACACATATTGATGTTATATTTCAGCAGATGCAAATCACCTCCTTTTTTCATTAGGCTATGTCAGAGTCATGCCAAGATTTTTCTCTTTTTGCAGGGCTTTTCTGCCTGCCCTTTTAAAGGATAAAACCAAGAACCCATGTTCATGCTATCTTTAACTCTAGATTAAATGAAAGGTAATGACTAAATAAAAACAGTAAGGAGCAGGTAGATAAAATGTTGAGGGGTTTTTAGTCAGGCTGTTCAAGACCAGTTTTGTTTTTCCCTTTTCTTTCCAATATCTTATTTTAATGGGAACTTTGTCTTCTGAAGAAAGGTCATCTGAAAAGATTTAAGTACTCCACCCTCTTCAATTTGCATTTTGCTCATGAGAAAATGAATTCTGAACTTTCCAGCAGATTCCCTTAACAAATCCAGGGAAGATATTGACATTTCTGAAGAAAAAAAACCTTCAGACTTGAGGGAAAAAAGCAACAATCATGAGGAGAAAAACGCCCACTTGAAATATTAAAAGAATGTTTGCAGGCCATATTTAGAGCAGCTTAATCTTTATGCCACAGGAAATCACAGCATCCTTTTGCACATTACTAGATATTTCAAAGTGTGCAACTATTTAATCTGTTAAATGCTAAGCAGCATACTTCCACCAGTATAAACATATTATTTCCTTTTCAGAAAGTGCTAATTGCAATAGGTAGTCAAATAAAATGCTGCAGTCTAGGTCTCACTTTTAACCTTCTGGGATGTCTATGCTGCCATAGGGCACAGCCAGCACATCATTCCAGTTTGCAGAGGAACTGACAGCAATGGAACCCAGCTCAGCATCCATCCCTTTCCCCACTTCTCACCTGCACCAGAAGTGGCTGCAGGGCAGACACAGCCCATAGGATTATTACAGGCAGCTTTGCTAAGACCATCTGTTCACTCTGACTTCACAGTTCCAATATTTGATAAATGTGTTATGTATCCTTTTTCCTGTTCACTAAAAGATCACTTGCAAGCTCAGACTCATTTGCAAACAGGAAGGCCCAAGTACTTGTTAAAGCCTTTGGAACAACTTTCTTCTTTTAAGAAGACACAGGAGTACCAGGATGTACTTTGATAGTTTGTTTTCATTAATATAATTACAATACATTCTGGACAGTTACAAAATCTGGGGAATCTGGTTTTCTCCATAGATTTGGATTGCATATTTCAAACAACTGGATGCCTTTCCATTACATCTGAACCCTTTTACTGCAGTCTTAGCAAGGACATTCAGTACAGAAACCCTTTTTTTTTTGTTGTTTCAGCAACTTTTAGTTCTGTTTTGTGCCCCAGGCTTTTATGTCCACCTTGAATGCTGGTTTAGCTGCTTAGTTAAAAGCCTGCAGCCAGTCTCATGATACACCAATTCAAGAGAAGACATTTCCACTGGGACAATTTGGAAAAGGGATATATGCAAAATGTTTTCTGGGTCACTTGGAGTAATAGCATTTAGTGTATTTGCAAAGTCATATCCTGCTGTAGATCAGAAGGAATGCAATCAAGTCAGACCAAGTATTTTGAGTTAGGAGAAATATTTGGCTCCACATGAACTGACAGCATTGTTCAAAGATAGCAGTTTTCTCAAACAAAATATATTGCCCATAATACAAGCTATCTGGCATTCTCAAATACAAGAAACATTCCCCTGCATAACACTGTTGAAATGTAAAAAACATCAGCTACTGAACCTAAAAACTTTTTCACCATACTTTGATAAACTTTAAGTACATTGTACTTAGCTGCTTCAGAACACCTCTTTGCATCAGCAGGTGTGGCTACATATAGTTTCCATTTCCAGGCCACTGAGTTACATGATCTTCTATGTAGGAGCGAACACTAGGCTTGCTCATTTCTACCAAGTCAGTCCAGCTACATTCTGGTCCCAAAAAAACATACCCTACGTCTTCTGACAAGTGATAGGGCTCTGACCATAGGAGCACACTGCAAAGCAGCAAAGCATTTAAATAGTTGGCAAAAGGGTTGAAAGGCACATAGCTTGTCCTTAGCAAAATTTCCCTGTTCCACTTGTGATGCCCATTGAGGAATCACTATTGGGACCTAGCTTGAAATAAAAAAGTAGTAAGAAAATGGAAGCCTGCCAGGAAAAAAAAAAATAGGTTGCCTTTTTATTTTAGGTTAAGATTTTAGTGTTGCATGTTTTCCTCTACCTTTCCAGTGAAAATTAAGGAAGCTATGGATGCATGTTAACCATACGTATGGACTTACTACTACTGGAATACCAAATGGTAGAGCTGCTGTAAACTGTTGCAAGTACTAAAAGCAATGTTTATAATGGTCTGTACAGCATTTGCAAATATTTACTTTGAAAAGAGATTAGTGTAGTTCTTATTTTTCTCAGCATTGCTTAGAAATGCTAAAAAACTACAACAGCTAAACTGCTACTCTACACCAGATCAATTTACCCCAACAGATATTTAGGAATATATGCCATTATATTTAAAAATACCAAGTTCCTCTAAGTGGTAAACCTAGAAGATTTTACATAGAGTTAGAGATAAAATATTAAAAATTATTTCAACTCCACACACTTGACATCTGAATAGGAGTGATGTAATCATACTATTTATTCCATCAGTGAGACAAAATGTAATATGGAACTAAATTTCTGAGATTTTTAAATAGAAAGTCATTTAACTCATATATACACAAAGAGTTCTTTCCACAGATATTTACATGGCAAATATGTTAGAGGAGAACCACTATGACTAAGTCTCTATAAGTATAGCATCCTTTCTGAGCTATTCTCTCTGCTGAAAGAATTCACAGAAGCTTTGAAGTAAAATCTAAACAATTAAAGTTACCTATATTTCACAGTAGGTAAAGAAGCCGTTAAATGATATTTCAGCATAAGGTTTCTGGAAACAGCTACACAGTAGAGTTTTACATCCACCCTCTTTTCCAGCATCCATGGTGAAACTAAATCTCTTCTCAGTTTCAGGAGAGATAACAGCATAGGTAAGATGTGTGTGTAACTGTAGCTCATCCTCCTCGGTAGAGGCTGGTCAGCCGTTCTAGTTCTTTGCAGTTCTCCATGGACATGGACTCTGCTTTCTTTCGGAGCCGGTCGTCTCGATAGACTTTTGCTGCATAAAGTAAGTCTGTTTCTTTAAGGAGAAAACAGAAGAGATTTTTTTGGTTACAAACTGAATACTTGGCACATGACACAGCTGTACAAAATACCTCAGGTTTTAACCCTTGCCCTTTTTTCCTTCTCTCTATTCTAACTTCCCACAGACACCACTGAAACAGCACTGCTACAGTTTTCCTTTGCTGGATCTTTGTAACAATTCCATCTTTTTGAACAGGTAAAGCTGTATCAGCCTTCCAGCTCCCTCAGAGTTCATACAGCAGTATCTGATTAACAAGAAAAAAACCACACCCTACAAAAATCTCCTAATACTTCTGTCAGACCTCGTTAAACATTACAAATATAGGCCACTCTCAGTGATCCTGCATTGTTATTGATACCTCTAGCATCTTGTCTGTGCCCCAAAAAATCCAATCTTAATGTTAAGCCCTTTACTTCAACTGATGCTGATTCAGACTGTCAGTGTTCAGAGCTATTAATAATTAAGAGCTCTCTGTATTATACTAGTGCTCAACAGCTTGACATTGCTGAGCACTGTAATTCTGTAAAATCTTTTTTGTTACTTCAACTCAAAATGCAAGACATTCTTAAATGTCAATTAACTCCAGATGGATTTTAACTGTCAAAGAGATTTAACACACAACAGGTATTTTAAATCCATAAAACCACAAAATGAGCTGTTTCTATAATCAGGAAAAAAAGAAAAACCATTAGGAGCCTCTTACTCAAAATCAGTTTGGGTAGTTTTCACAACCTGATAAATTACAAGTACCAAACAACAGGACTGCAGAGACTAAAGCTAGACAGAAACATGTGATCTGACTCAGAGAATTATGTTCTATTCGCTTCTGGTCAGTGTAGTGACAGCTCATGAATGAATTATTTTTCCAGTCTTCTATGACTGAAGCTCACCACCTGAAAAGTTAAAACCATCTGGTTTCAACACTGATATAATTTTAGCAGAGCCACAGAGCTCACAGCTAACAGAATAACTGGTTAAAATTGATGCTGATTTAGAAAAGGCTGGTGGTGCTCTTCAGTATTCTTATGCTTTAACACTGAATTCTAGGTTTCTGAAAAGAAGTAACTCATTGTATAATACTAGACTGGAGAAACAGATGGCAAACTAAACCCCCTTGTTTTACATGATGTGCTGCCTGTCCTTGGTTGCCTGGAAGAGCAGTGTGTGTAGGTACTGTGGTCCAAGGCAGATTATTTTTTCGTCTCTCTGGAAACACCTATGTAAGCTTCTGGTTTATTTATTTACTTGTATAAAAGCACCTAGGGAAATGAGCTATTGCCATGATAAAGTAATGTGGAAGACATGAGAATTCTTAGAAATTGCAGTGAGTTAAGGACAAAAGCTTTGTCATAATCAATTTAGTGTGGTCTTTAATTTTCTGAGAAATGGTCACAGCTAATAAATCAGGTTAAAATTGCTGATAATTTGCAAATGGTTGTTAGATCACTGAGTAAAATTCAAAAACTAAGTAACACTGGGGACAGTTTTAAAGTGAGAAATAGCAGGGGACCTTACAGTTACTTTTGCATTGAGATGTTGTAATAATACAAGCGCTTCCTACTTGCCTCAGGCTATTTTTATAGTAATGCATGATTTAATGAAATTACACATATTACCAAACTTACTTTGTTGCCTCTCCTTCCAACAGTTATTACGAATGTTGGATACATAATCTTCTTCCACGCTCTTTTCCACTTTCTGTAATGACACTCCTTTGTATTCATTTCTAAAGTCCTTATTGACATAATAAATGACACCCAAATTTTCTGTCTGCATTTTTATGGTCTGCCCTGTACTTCTGCAAAAAAGGAGGCAGGGGGGAGAGAAAGACTAAATATTAATCTGATTATTGTTTTTACACCACAAGCAGACTTAAAAAAATATTGACATTACTGAATAATAGCAGCACATTCCCAAATTGGCCATTTCGAGACAAATAATTAAAAGAATGGCTCTATAATCTGCTGGAGAAAAAAATTATTGCACTTACCTAAACATTAAACTTCTGCTGCCCAAACACCTGATCTCAAAAAAAAAATCCACTTTACTAAGACACTTATTTCATACCTCTTTAGCCAAATACAAGTTTTAATAATAGAAAATTACATTTGAACTCCACAGAAACAGGTCACTATTCTGTAACAACCCAGTACAGCATCTCCATTCTGAAGTGTTTGCTGCCAGCCCTGATAAATTCATTTTCCTGCTGGCATTCTGTAGATTAAAAATCAAAGACCGGGTGCAAACATTTTGGCAGAAAAGCTTTTCTAAGCATTACAACAGCTTAGTTGCAGAAGGGAAAAACATCCTACTCCAGAAATAGAGAACTTTGAAAAACAGGAGAAAAGAAACCTCTCTGTTGAGGGGTTCTGCAAGGAACTAAGGCCCTTTAAAACCAGTGTGGTGAGTGGGCTACTTCTACCAGCTAGCTGCACGCTTGATTCAAGTTACTTATTTCTCAGAAGACAAAAAGGTTTAAATATCCTACTGTATGAAACAGGTAAGTTTCACAAGAAAAAGAAGATTTTACCATCACCTAGAATGAAGCAAAGAACAGACAATCTTCCCAGCCATCATCATGTTTAACACTTAAATGAAGATCAGAAGTTGCTTTCAAGTTCTTCACCTTCTACAAATACAGATTACCCCCAAAAGAGTAATGAGCCTTAGAAGATTTCAGGTATTGATAACTATGTTGGAGATGCAAACACTTTTGCAACATGCCATGTTGCATGGACCCACTGCCTTGTAGTAGACCTCCTGAACTCCAGGTACTGCTGACCTCTTTTCTCCATTACATTCTCACAGCATGTTCTTTGCACTTGAATTTTTTGAAAAACAGAACATGTTTTTCTGCTTCATCTACACCTTCCCTCCCTTTCTTCACTGTGGGAAATCAATGATCAACTAATGGAAGACTCTCCACAATGCTTCTAAGTGGGAGAGGGTGATTACAATACCTTCCTCTCTGCTTTAAGGTGATGTAATTAAGCATTACTTACGATCTTGGGTATAAGGCGTAAGGAGGGTTAGATACCATCAACTGGCTCAACAAGGAGACAAAGATCAACACAATAATAGGCATCAGCTGAATGACCATAGAGAAACCTCCCTAAGGAACAAAATAGATTCAGGTATTTCATAAATCATCAGGCAAACAGGTAAATCTGACAATACTTAATGCTAAGTGTGACTTTTTGCTTTAAGCCTCAAAAGCTGCTATGAAAACAGTAAGTGCAAACACTGTGGTATTATCTGAACTTTCAAATGCATACACAATATTCACACAGTGCTCAAGCTGCAGGAGTTCATGGGTTAGCACGTACACACAAGCAACTACCACATAAAAGCTGGATTCAGCTACATTGTATGCCATGATTTGGTCTCATCTATACAGTGACATGTGATTATACAGGACTAGAGATAATTAATGGAGGTGAATACTGAGCTGTAAGTTCAATTCTTACCTCAGCCCAAATAAATTTTTCTATGCATACAAGGATTAGTGGCCACAATTAGTGGCATATATAGGTTAATAATACCAGTCACCAGTAAGAGAGTGACATACAACATCAGGTTTACAAAACCAAGCTATTACCCTCTCAAATTTGCATGCCTATTTACCAGTCAGTAAGTGAACCACCCACTGAAGTTTAAAATACCCAACTGGCAGGTACAAATCCTCCTCTACAGTACAGAGCTCCTGTACAATCACAATACTGGAAGCAAATTGTGTAGTTTAAAGTCAATGGTGCTTAAACTTACATCACCTCTCTCTTCCTCCCTCTCGTGCCCACTCTGACGGTGCTGGTTTGGATGGCTGTAGCCAGCACGACCATTAGAAAATGAGTGTACACTACCTGAGAAAGGAACATCCACATTTAAATCATGTACAAAAACACCGTTTAGAGGTCAGTACAGAAGCAACATAAAGCACTTTACATTACTGCACAACAGCACATAAAAGGACATTAAGGTATCTTGAAATTTCAAAGCTGTTTAAAATAAGTATTTTAAGCTGTATGATAGTAACCCCAAAGAACTGACATTTTTGGGATTTAGCAATACTTGAGGGAAAAATAAACTGATGCAGATTGTAGAGTTGGGGTTCAAGGCTGGCTGGAATAATTCTACTATTTTATAATGTCATAAACTCTAATGCCACTCCGGCAGTACATCTTGATAATTATGCTGACATATACAAATACCTGTTGGAAAGGCCCCTCCAAAAAACATGTTGAACAGATCCTCTGGAGTAATATCTGCCTCACAACCTCTATGGAAGTTGAATCTGCCATTGCTAGGGTGATTGCAAGTTTGCTCTTCACTGCCTGTAAGGTCATACTGCTTTCGTTTCTCTGGATTACTCAGCACAGCATACGCATTTCCGATTTCTGAAGCAGGGAATAAAACACAACTCCCATAAATGCATGATAAAAGCTATTCCAGCATGAAAATTGCAATTTCAAAGTCAAAAATAGGCAGCAAACGATGCAATTTACTGTATGTTACAAAACAGCTACAGTAGAACAAGGTCCAGAAACATCTCCACTTTTCTTAGAATAGCTTCCACAAAGTTTCCCACCAACGCTGTCCAAAAGCCTTTTATCCTGTTAAACAAGGCAGAAGGCAGGAGAGCTTTGTTTCCTTTTCTAGGGGAACACCTACCCTTGTGGAAATGTTCTCTCTCATTGCAGTTACAAAAAAAGCATCAAGCATTACAATGAGACTCTGAAGCTGAGTAACTGCAGTTTGCTCTAGCAGCTAGCTTAAAAAATCATCATGGACTCAGCAGGTTTTCTTTGGTTTCATTTGGTAAAGTGGGCATTTCTTGGAATGCACCAACCTCATTGTCTACAAGAGTGTGAATGTATTTTTCTTCATGCTTCTGAAGGTATTTGTGGGTTACATGAATAACACAAAAGTTCTGCATGATGTAACCTGAGGAGTAGAACATGCATGCATGACAGGAATGTGCTCCTTGGGCGGTCAATATGACCTCAGTGTTTGGAAGGCCTGGCCTGGATGCTTGTCCCTGTTTATGCTATGGTATCACAAATGAACAGCTTCCATTTTGGCAGTAGAAAGGATAAAACCTCACTTAGGTAAGCACAGAAAATATCAGCAAGAAAACCCACATACACTGCTGACTTTAGCAGCTTTTTTCTTGTGGTGCACAGACATAATGATCTTGCAGACTGATGGAAAGTTTGTGTTGCCACTTGATGAACAATCTTCACTCAGTCATATCGTCATTAAACCCCTTCTGCCTTCCTCTCTACTCTCTCCTCCAGGCCTCTCCAACAAAAGAGTTCCTTTGCAGCCAACCAACCCAAGGCACAGGGATTATGATTTTCAGTGTTGAAAAGCCATCAGTCATCAAAAGTTCGTGAAAGGTGCAACACTATAACCTCAACACAGGCAAATAAGACTGTGGCTTTATAATTAATATTTTAAACATTATCCAATCTAAGCAAAAGTTAATGAGTTTGAGCTACAAGTCTTTTAAGATGCCCTTAGGAAAAAACCTAAACAACTCCTTTAAGTGGAGGAGAAAACCCAAATAAATGAAGCCTGGTATTTTGAACTGCAGCATGATACAAACTGACATCAAATATTGCTCTGTTGCTCAACATGAGGATAAAATAGGTAGTGAAAATTTAGATTTTCCCAAGAATTAAAAACTAAGAGAGATAATTCAGGTGACTGCACATAAAGTGAAGTTACCCTACTGTCACAATATGCCTGTTTGTTACTCACTCTTGATTATCTGGTGCTAATTCACAACAGATTTGATTCCAATATAACTTTCTTTTCAAAAAGGACATAAAAATGAAAAAAAAAAGTCACTGGTCAAAACTTTCACAGGAAAGATTTTTGATTAAATTGATAAAAGATAGCAGAAATTATTACATTACCTATCATGAAATGCAATTCCGTTTTATAATGTGACCTTTCCTTAAAATAAAGCATTATTATAAAATAAAAACTATTGTTATAAACTCCTTTTCTCAGATTGATGTCAAAAACTGATCAGATATCTTTAAAGGAAAACTAAACCATAAATTTACTCAGCCATACAAAAGGATTAGAATAATTTCAATGCAAGAAAATGCTAGTTGTCATGAAGAAATTTTTGGGCAATGAGATTCCCCTACAAAATTTTCTGTTCATTTACTCATCTAGTTAAAAACCAGAAAGTGAAATTCAGCTGAAGAAATTAAGACTTGTACAAAGTGCTCACATTAAATAAAATATTAAGAAGCTGATTTTTAACATTTTAAAGATGATTTATTTGAAATGCTATTAACAAGGAAGAACTATTTTATTCCCAGGGCCTGAGACAATTTTATAGGAATAGTATCTTTTAGATAAAGACATCACAAGGCTGTAGTAAATGAATCAATAGTAATCAACTTTCCTGCTCTGCTGTATCTACCTTTCATCTGGAATTGTTAATATATCATTATAATTACCTCTTAAAGTCTGTATCAGAAGTCTTGCTCAGGACTTTTTTTTTCTTTTTTTCCCTCCCCAATTTAAGTGTTTTATCTGAATGATTTTTTCAAATGTCTGCATGTAAACCTCACACAGGAAAAAAATAAAAATATGTACCACAATCTGATTGTTTATGCATTATAATTTCTTACAGATTCACATTTTTGTTCATCTGAGATGAAGCTGTAGTTTTCTTTAAAAAGCTTTTCTTCAATAACTCTCCTAGTGTAGGGCTAAGCTGGGCAGCCTTAAATAAGGTCAAGTCAGACTGTAAATTTTACCTAAAAAAATGGTCAAAGGCAACTACTAGTAAGGCCATGATTGAACTCAGGTGTTTTTATGCAGGAAAAGTAGTAAAACTACACACATACAAGAAATTCTAAGGAAGAGGCAACTTAGTCTGGCACGTGATTCAGAAAAAACTGCATTTTGTTCTCAAGGATTGCTTTCTTTTTTATCTAGCTCAAGTACAGTAAAGATCCAAGACAATAAAATTCAATAACTACATTAAGTCAACAACAGTAAAAAAGTACAATTGGGTTTCACAGATCAAGTATTTCTTCCCTGTACTGAACATTACAGTCGATTTTCTGAAACCAAGCCCTACTGCCAAAGTCCATGTTATTTATCTATACTTCTAATATAACAAAGGTCAAATATTTTCTTGAATAAAAATGTCAATCCAACAACAGCTAAAAAACACATTTACATTTGTAAAAATACAAGCAATCAATGCAGACAAATATGGATTTGGATGAAGTTTAATGATAAAAGAAATTTAAAGTAAAAATGGTGTTTTACTTTTAAAAGCCTCTGTTGCTCCAGGTGCATGGTTTTTGTCTGGGTGGAATTTCAAAGCAAGTTTTCTATAAGCCTTCTTTAGGTCTTCTTCACCTGCATCCTTTGACACTCCAAGGACTTCGTAATAATTTTTACATTTCTTTATACTGCAAAAGAAAATGATGTAAAATGTTGCAAGCAAAAAGATGTAAAAGTAATGGGTTAACACACAGCTGTGAATGAAGTCATACACTACACTGGTGCATTATATTACATCTTTTGCCTTCAATATAAATTATTTTTAAAATATCCACTCTGGAAACAAAGAATGTCATTTTTTGATAATAAACTCACTATTGAGCTTTTTATGTACATTTCTTTTACTTCTACTGTAGAACTACCATGGTTGTAAGAAAGGGTTTCAGTTTGCAACTACTGTAGCATTTCCTCATCTACAATTACATTAATATTGCTGTTAATAATGCATAAAAAAAGGTTCCAAATTTACTTTGCACAACTAGCAGGTAGGAAAATGTGTTTTGACTGTAAACAGCAAATGCACTTCAGTATGAAGGATATAAAACAAAGCAAACAACACCTCCCTTTCTCCAAACTAAAGCCAAATCCTTCCATCACGCAAGCATTCACTTTTCAGGGAATAAAACATGTGAGAACACTTCTGCTGCTGGGAATGCACCTGGATCTTAACAATCTTTCTGTAAGTGTTTATGTAAATTCAAAGTCACACTATCAGCTCCAGCAATTGCATATTTAGCTTATCTCATATAATCAAGTATAGCATTTTTTAAAACTCAAACCTCAGAAATATTCTTTTTGTAGGCTTTCTAACTCAGAAAGGAAAAGCAAAATCTGGAAATGATGTAATGATTTAGTATACTTCACAATACCCCAGAAGAAAGAAAGAGCACTTAGAGGAAATGTGAGAACATTAATTCTTTGTGGGCAGGAAGAACTGATCAAACCAGTAAATACAGCTTAACAATCAAACCAAGTTACTTAGGTAAAAATTCAGAAAGAAAAGGCTGAATCCCAAACTTGCACTGCAGAAATAAGGCACATTGACACGGAGTGCATGCCAAAAAAAATGGGCTGGTCTGAGCAAGAAATAGAAATCACATCCAAAAATATTTTAAAAGCTTCATGTGAGTCTTTCACATGGCTGTAATCGTATCTGCATTCTCTTACATGCACAAATGTCTACATAAATTTGGGTTTAATGTTTCCAAGACTATACACAGGGCAGCCCTGTGTATTGCAAGGGGGCAAGCAAGCCTTTGGCATTCTCATGGAATCCTGTTATTAAGGGAATGTGAGCATCACAAGTACAACCACACCATCATGTGTGGTCCATCCTACTTCACAGATTGATCAAATCAAGTTTCATTTGAGGGATCCTGTTTCCTGTGTTCAAATACAGAAGCTTTGATGGAAGCCTCGGTGTAATGCTCACAAGAGCACTGAATTGAATGTATGCAGGCAGCTGCCAACACAAACATCCTGTGAAATAAATATGGCTCATTATATTGAAGTAACATTTAATAAGCTCCAATTAGGAAGCTGATAGAGCTAACTAAAAAGAACACAGTGAATCCATCAAGAAAGGTTGGAAAGAAAATACATTAAATTATACTCATGAGTACTGGAAACTCTTTTTTGGTAATCTGTACAAGCAGAAAGAAGTGTGGTAGTGTACAGATCCCTTAATCCATAGCCTCAATGCTGGGATGATTTAGGAACTGTACCAAGAACAGGTAGCTTTATTTAAATGTCTAACAGTATCAAATTAAGCTTTTATTTCATGAAATTGCTATCTCAGCATCCAATCTAAGTTCTCTTCAACAATTGCTTCTGAGATATCTGTTTGTGGGCCAGACTCTTCGGAACTTTGATTGATATAAAATTACATAGCAAGCCATCAATGTTTAGCAAAGTTGTTATTGTTTTAGCATTAAAACTCTGGTGTGAAACATTCATTCCTGTGTTTTTAAGCACTGTGCATCCTCAACAACAGTCTCCTTCAACAGCATATTGTCATTTTTCGTGGGGAAAAAAAAACACCACGGAAATTTATTTATTTACAATATACATTCATTTCACAACTCTAGGATGCCAAGAAGAGAAATATGGGGAAAAAAAAAAAAAAGAACAATGCAACAGATGCCAACCTGTACTTCTAACTCCCCAAAAGCCACTTGAGATTTCCTCCTGTTCACAACCAGTGGATGCTCCACAGTGGATGACCCTCAAAGGAGAAGCAGCAATGGTGGGTATCTACCAGAAGATCTAAAATCACTTTCATGCAACAGCTATCCTGAACCTGGCCTACGAATGAGGTATTGTTATTACTGAGAAACATGTTCAGCCAAAGTATAACACATTTATGTTTTTTCTTTGCAAGTCTTTCCTAGGGGTAAATGAAAAATTCTACAAACAAATGTGGAACATGCATATACATGTGGAAATTTTGCAGTTCAGCAGAACTTTGGATTAGGCAGATCAAGTTTTAAAGCTAAAAACCATTAAATGATCTTACAAATGCACAGGGGCCAAAAACCATACCTAAGCCTGGAATTTTCAGCAGTGACCTTATGCTATGAAGCCCTTACCACACTCTGCCATTAGCCAACAGTTTTACACCATTGCTTGGCCACCTCAAGGCAAAAACCACCTGGACTGTAAGCTGCCAGCATCTGGTTAATGCAGTTTCCTCCTGGGAGGGAGTCAGTGACTTTTGCCAGGAGGTTCCTGACAGAGCACAATTCGGGGCAATCATAACAGGGTAACACCTCCGTTTCTCCCCCCTTCAGCTGAGTTCATGTGAGTTCTGCACTAAAACTTGCACTGGGGATGATGGGACAAGCAAAGATGATTAGAAGGTGCTTTCCAGTTAAACAAAGTTATCAGTGTTTGTGATGTATTCCTGAGAAGCAAAACTTTAATGCACCACAAACAGAACCTGAAAAGTCAGTTTATCACAGGACAAACTGTGGAGTCACCAGGACTCAGGTCACACATGGCTGTGCAGCCACAAGGCTTCTCTAACACTGCTGGAGCACACAGCCCACCCTCAGACGCCCCAGCACACAGCCTCAGATGCCCCATCCCTCCTCATCCTTTAAGAGATGCTCCAAGTCTTCCTCCCCCAAAACTCTACTCTCCTGCTGAGAAATTTCTCTCCAGCTGCTGGAAGCTGTTGGAAGCCATGGCCAACTTGATCCCTGCCCCTCAGAAGATGCAGACATTACTGGACATATTCCTCACCTCTTTACTTTAGTAGACTGACCTCTGACAATCCTCACTCAGCCAGAAACCCTCACCTGCACCACTGAATTATCCTGTGGAGATTTGTCATGGGAAGGAAGGTGGCACTTTTCTCTTACTACAGGGCACAAAAATCAGCTAGTAAAAGCAGGGAAAAATTAAGGGTAAAATCAGTGGAGGTTTTGGAAAAGCTCCATCACTGATGTTACTGCTGGCTTTTAACTGCACCTGAAACCCCTCCAACACTCTCAGCATGAACAACTTTCTGAATGCTGCATTTCAAATTGTTGTTTGGTCTTGCTGCCCTTAAGGCACTGCAGTTCCTACTGCTAGTTTTCTTGCATACGTAAACTCCACACAGACATTTCTTTTCAAAATTCTAATGTACACATTACTTGCTTACTAACTGCCCATTTTGTATTGAACAGGTTATTCCCATTCTTTATTTTTGGTTTACTTGAAGTTTGGTGTTTTCACTGATACTTTGCTTGGGGTTTTGGCTTTTTTGTGAATTGCTTTTCCTGTACTTTTCATTTCTGGTTGGATCACTTCTGTATCTGAATTACTAACAAATTATTTCTGTTATTTCTCTCTCCTTGTTGAATTGTTAGTCCCCTGCCAACACCTTGGCACTGTCCTTCTGATTAACAGATTTGCTGGCTGTTCCTGAAATAACACCTGACTTTTACAGAATAGACTTCTCAAACTGCAGGAGAGCAAGTGATGGCCTACATTCATGCCCAATCTGTTGACGGAAGTATCTCATCACCACTTGCAAAGCTCCACTATCCCAGCTTGCAGCTGATAAGGCACCTGCAGTAGAACTGGTCAGCCAGCTGCAAACTGCAGCACCAACAACTCTGCTGGATGCTGGGCTCCTCTCCATGCTCTGATGGCTGACAGCAGAGGAAGCCCTTCAGGTTCTGAAACGTCTCTTCTCAGCTGCAGAAACCCAAGGGCTGCCACCACTGGTTCTCCTGTGACTACAAAATGATGTGATCCTAATGCTGTGCTTGTCAGATCACTTTTCAAATCTACAATTCAGATTAGGTCAGCACTGCCAGCTTTTATCAGATTAACAAAACCTATCAGAGATGCTTGCCTTACTGTATCAAATACCTGCAGCAATGCACAATCATGAAATTTGGAGTATGAGGAGGTATTTCAAAGGGTCTTCCAAAGTTCCTTCCTTCCTTCTCACAGGAACAGCCCAAAAGACAAATACTTCAACCAGAAGCATGTCAAGGGAGCCACAATTATTTCTCCCAATGGTAATCTGAACTGAGCAGCACAGTGAGCAGCAATGTGAATGTTAGTGACAAGGAATCCAGCAAGAGGAAGCTATACTGACTTCTGATCCTAGAGTTGAGCCGAAAAACACAGTAAAATGCAGACCAAAATCTATACAGGTCAAATTTCCAACTATGCCAGAGAGCCTGATGCAAATGGTATCTTGCAGCTGAGCTGGGAATGTGCCAGTCACAGTTTGGGTGACAAACATGGGCTGAAAGAAGTGCTCTAGATTGGGAAGAGAAGGTCACAGCATTGTCAAGGAACTCAAGCTGGTACCAGCATACCCCTAGCTTTTGAAACAAATGCAGCAGAACTCTCAGACTTCTGTTGCACTGATAGATTCAACAACACATTAGGGTGCTTGTCTTACTACCTTGCTCTTGGATGTACCTGATCAGTTTGTTTCTACTGTGTGTATCATATGAAATAGTCAAGGCTGTGTTTACATCAGCATGCTATTCTCCAGATTTTATTTAATATTTTATTTTAGTTATGAGCTTTCTGACAAAGTCCATCATGTCTTCTCTGCCACTTTTCTGTGACAGGCTCTATGACTATGATTTCCACCCTAATTTCTCAACCATTCAAATGGATATTTCAAAAATTCATGGCAGCTCTACAGCCTAATTAAAGGGATGCCCTGATTTCTCTGCTTTGGTGGTTTGGTTTTTTTTAACACATACTGATTGCTCTTATTAATCCACTTCCAATTAATTATCTTCTTGACACTATGGTAGAAAAGAACCAATATCTCTTTTTGCTGGATTTGTGAAAGTGTCAGCAGAATGCTTGGAAAAAGTCAGTCACACAACTTATACTCCTACTTTGATCCATGAAATGTGTACAGGCAATTTTTTGGTTCACTACATGAATTCAAATCAAGCTACTGATTATTCCTGACCACTACTTGATGACACTTAATCCTGCCTTGCAAGGTTTCTACAGAACTCATGCCTCTATTCATTTGGTTTGGTTTTATCTCAAAAATCCATACAAAACTTGATTCTTGTGCTTTCTTCCAAGAAGCTGGCACTGGCAAGGCAGGAAAAGCAGTATTCCACCACCGTTTTCACAAGACAACAATGCAAATTTACCATACTAGTAGTCATGGCAGTTTTCTTTCAGATGTCAAAAAGGCAATATGGAATACATGCTATGGCTTATTCACTAAAAAAAAAAGAGACCAAAGAGGTCAAATACCATGTGTATTTTAAGATAATTTAAAAAGACCCTGTATAAAACATACAACATGAAAATGCCTCATTTTTTTGTCGTGCATGTGATTCTTACACATTTGTCTTAAGCTGACATCACTTGTGTAGCTTTCAGTTGCCTAGAGACCTCTAGGGCACTTGCTCTAAGAAGGCATTAAGCCTACTGTGGGTCCTAGCATATTTCTGCAGTATCTCCCACATGCAGGTCACCTAAGGGTGTTAAGGCAACTTGATCCAGTTCTCAGTGACAAGGTAAGGTTCATTAGGAAAAAGATGCACGTACTACAGATAGGATTTTCAAAGCATTTCCACTTAAAAGCAACAAAGTGCTGCGGTATCTCTCAACCTTCAAACTGTCACACTGAAATAGCAAGCACAGCTCCCACAAAGAGCAGCATTACCCAGCACTTATGCAATCAAAGGAAATATGTTACATCTTACGCTTCTCCCTGTTGAGCAGCTTGCAAGCTCACGTAATACTCTACAGGACTGTTATGGTAACTTGCTAGTGATCAGTGTCCCCTGTGTATGTGGAAAAAATGAAGCCAGCACAGAGGTGCTTGTTTGTACTCATAGCCACTCACATTACTAGAGTAACCTTGATGAAAATTAATGCAGCTAAATTAGTTACATTGCTCCAAGCATATCCTCACTATGCTTCTTAAATCTGCTGTCACAAACAAATTCAAGATAGCTGTACAATTCCAGGAACTTTAATCAGTGATCCAAGCCAGGGAGCTCAGAGTCAGTCTCCCAGTCTGACAGCTTGGTAAAGCTTACAACAAAAGCATTGGAAATGGCATGGAAGTGTAGCTGAAAGCTTTCCCTATGTCTATATTCAGTTACTGAACCAAGAACTCCTAAAGGGAAGAATATTTGAGGATAATGACCTTTTGAATCATGCACATGCAAACCACTCTGTTTGTCCGATGTCCATGCTGAGTGTCAGAATTTATTGAAGTTTGGAGGTTTTGCTACCTTGCTGTCTATAAACTTCTTCCGTTACAGAAAAAAAGACAACAACTGGGCATGAAACACTGTTTAAAAACACCTCTTTTCACACACAATTTCTTTAATCAATTCAAACATCTGAAAACCATTCCACTGTGGTACAGCAGAAGCATATGGTGGTGACAAACTCTATTCTCTAAAGAATACCCTCCCCAAAGGGGTACGTTTCATTTAATTGGAAAAATATGGGGCCTGACTGAAGCAATATCATATGCTGTCTGTCATGTTTCCAACTAGAAAGCTCATTCTCACTGTGGTTTAAACATGAACTTTCTCTCAGTTATCATCGCTGAATGTGTTATATTTTTCCATTTAGTTTTAGGCTATTGTTTGTATTTAATTCTGCTCTCATTGGCAAGGCACACATGTTTTTTAATTCTTAACCACAAACTTTTTAAGTGGTTTATGTCACTAAATAATAACATGATGAACATTTCAAAACTTTCAACATGAACTCAAAACTTGCTCTGTTGATCACTGCACAAATCTAAACAAAAAATTCATCTCTCTCTAAAGGTTCATGAAGTGCTGTATTAAAAGACAGCAGTGTTCCCTGAGCAAAGGTGAAGACATTGTTTTAACACACGATTTTAAGTGGTAGGTTAAACAAACAAACATGGGTTGTTCCATATTACAATCGCTTATTTTGCAAAGATCTTGGTAGGTTTTAAAACTCTGTACTCAACATTCAATATTCTTGAAGCCATGTTGCATCAATACTATTCTCAATGTGCGATTCTTGAATATCCCTAACTCTGGTCCTGATCTCAACAAACTGGATTAAGTTTATATAGCATTTAACAAATCCCTTCACAAAGCAATACCCAATACCACAGAAGCCAACTAGAGAAAAAAGCTAGCTCTACAACACCATTTCAGTCAAGAAAGTAGGTAACATACCTTCTGCTAAAACAAACAAACAGACTGATCTTGCAGGGAGCCTGATGTCGAAGCAGACTGCAGCTCAGAATGGCATGTCACAGGTGAGTGACTACTGGCACCAAGACAGCCCTCCCTGCAGCAGCTTTTTGGGAGTATGTGACATGTCTTATTTTGACCTAAGCCACATTTACAGAGGACTTCTTTCTGGATATTTTGTCTCACACATGTGTGTACAAGCATACATACTACAATCATTTTAACAGAAACATACAGGCTTATCCAGGTTTTATTTTAGATATATCACAAAAGGCAATAACATTAATTAAGTGGAGATGATGGTAAATGAAAAGCACTAGTAAATAACACCAAGAGGATAACCATGTGAGACCTGCTGCTGTCTACCTGCCTGAATGCAGAGCTTCTGTATCAACAAAGTAAAACTACTTCTTTCCTCACTGTTAGCACAGCTGAACAGATTACTGAAATGCAGGAAGATCCAAGATCGTATCAACAGTAACATACATTTCACAGATGCACACAAACCCCAACCACCCCAAATTTCTGTTATGCACAACATCCAATACACACAAACTAGGAGACAGGGACCTCTTGATTTGCCTTCAAGCTCCCTTGAAAATATGTGGGCTAGGCTTATGTGAAAATACCAGGGTTTGAGCTGTGCAATTTCCTTGCTATATCCATATTTCTTTAGCAGAAACCCAGGCACATATGAAACAATATTTTTCTTGCTCCTACAGCCAGCAAGTATGCAATAACAACATGACTTAAGACTTACTTGCCTCAAAAGGGCATTTTTATTGACCTTTGTTTCTTTTCCCACATCCTTTCCTAATGTCACCTCATCTTAATACTATCAAGTTGCACTAAGCAGAGTTTATAGTGCAACTCAGATGATGTATTCCAGTGCTTCTCAGACACCTTTACATTCAAACCAAAATAATTTTAACATTTGTCTAAGACTAGCCTGTACAGCAAGATTAGCTTGAAAATAAACTTTAGGAGTGACCGTGTATCTTTAGTATAAAAATACTGAATAGAAACACTGCCCTGCAAGTTGTACAACAGAGTTTTCATAACTTTTTCCATTTACCATGAGATCTACTCAGTAACTATTTTGAGTATTATTTTTCCATAAAGTAGCCTTAATATTCTGAAGAAAGGAGTAGCATCTTTCTTGCAGAAAGTGACAGCGTCTCATTCAGTGTTTAAAGCCAGCAAAACTCCTCCTTCCAGTCAAAGTTCAGTACAAGTAATCCCTCTGAGCTAACCTCGAACTTCCTGTGGCTCCTTTAGATGACAGAGTTGAAAGGGTAAGCAGGTAATACACAGAATGAAAAGCAATGACATATTTAAGCCATACCTTAATACTCCTTCCATTTGGTCTTTGTTGTAGCCTTTTCCACTTTCACCTGCAGCAGATGCATTGCTCTCCTTCGTGCTGTTGGGCTTACTTTGATCACTGTTACTGGCTGGTTTTCGGCAGTAAGCGCCTCCCCCAGCAGTGCTTCCATTCTTCATAATAGCTTCCAACAAAACTATAAAAACAACAGTATATCATAGTATCATTACAGGTATTAGTGAAAAAGTCAGGGCTCTCAATTATCTCAGAGGAGAGCACCACATGACAAGACTAGCTGCTACATCCTCCTTCCTTACTGATCACCACTTTGTGTCACAAATGTTTCTGCAGCCAGTCTGATAATTCTTTTTTGTGGCAAAACTATGGAAAAGCGTTTCAAAATTAGTGACCAGGCTCCTCCCATCTGTCTCTGCCAAGGTAATGTAACACTGGAGAGAATATGTCCAGGTGCTTCATTTCTAGATGTTTTTTAGAGCCACTGAACCTGTGCCTTGGGGTGAAAACATCTGAACACCTGAATAAGCAACTGCAAATTGAAGAAGACGAACTAACCTTAAACTCTATATAAAGTGCAAATTATTCCACACAGACATCAAGCCCATCTCCAGCACATTTCAGTTCCTACAGTACATACCTATCTGTAACCTGAGTCATTACTGCCACAAACTGATGCTCTATTCCTTCCAGGCAATATCAGCTGAAATTGAAACCACTCTTAAAATGCCACAACCAGCCAAGGACCAGCCAAATACACCCAACTCAAGACCTGAAACTTGAAAACCACTTGGCTTCTGCTAGTTCTTGAAATCCTCTTTCATTCCATGTTCCAGCAGATCTCAAATGTAGCAGTTTTAATAAACATTATACACAAAGTCCATTTCTGTATATAAGCCTGTATTTTAGGGTATCTGTCTTAGCAGTGAATCAGAAACAATACCATTTTAACACAAGGGACTGCCCACAAAGTATAATATAGATCAAAGATTATTAAATAGTCCACCTTTCCTGCAAACAGATTCCTTCAGAGCAACATGGCAAACTACATAGCCTAAATTTGTTTCATAAAGAAAATTAGTTACTATCTGCATTAAAAATGCACTAATAAAAACTGCTCAGGAAAAATGTCCCATGCAGTGTGAAAGCACAGCACTTTCTTCTAGAAAGCCCATGGGAAGAATCCTTAAGAATTTTCTCCTAAATAAAAAAAAAAATTCTTCTCTGCTTAGCATGGTCTCTCTTAGAGCAGCAGAAAACTGGGATCCTACACATCATAGCTTGTGTATCACAGAAAGAAAAGAAAGTGAAGCTTTGTTAAAAAGGAGAGCCACCACGTCTTAAAAGCTCCCCAGCACTTAGTTTTACATTCACTTATTAGTGAATAACTACACTCAGCCTGAACAAGAAAGTCAGCTGACTTCAGAGCCAGTCCTGCCCCTCCGCCTGCCTCAGCCAGACTCATGGACTGATCAAATCAGGCTCTTTACAGCAGATATAAGGAAACAACTAAGCTTTACATGTCTAGTTGTAACTGAGGGGATGCTCTCACTACAAATGAAATCTGGAGCTTGAAAACAGGAGAGCTACAGTTGCATTATGGATTATAACTGAAGGACATATTGAATATTTGCAATACTTCATTCTAATATCCTCTGTTGTGGCATATGAAGTTCTGAGGTAAATGAAGTAGTAACAACTCCAACGAGGTGACCAGGTCTGCAGATTAAGAACTAATCAAGAACAGAGCTTTGAATGGACAGACAGTGCCCTTGGAATGAAGCATTTCAGTCCCAATGTGCTCCCAAGAAGTGCTACCAGAAAACAAAACAAAACAAAAAAATTATCTTTCTATCCAGTGAGTATGACATTTAACAATGGCATTGCATAGAATCCTAATGAACATGTGGCCTTCTTGAAACGATGCTTGCTCAAAGTTTTGCAGTTCCTCCTTTTATATTGGTATTGCTCTAGAGATTTCTCATCCCTGCCCCAACATTTATGCAGAACCTGTGGGAGCAGAAATGGCAGAAGCACAGACATGGGCGACGGTTTGCATTTTTAACATCCAGTCTTTCTCCACAGCAAGCATGGCTCTAAGTCTCTTAATGAACAGGTTTGGTTGCAGTATTCTTTAAACATCACTATTTTCTAATCCCCTTCTCAGACCTCATAATGGAGCTGCATTGCTGAGAATACAATGCAGGATGCTTAAAAAAATAAAATTCAAATATATCAGTGTGAACTTCCTAAAATAGCAGGACACAGTGTACACAAACATGCTATTGTCCTACACTGAAAAAGAAAACCACACAAAGGGTATGGGGCCATTGTTTCCTTCAAATAGGAGATACAGTTTAGGTATTCAGAAAATACTCTGACTCTTCCATGAACTGCTGGTGGTAAAACCAGCTGTTACAATGCAATACTAATACTGCATTTAAGAAAACTTCAACTGTGCATCTAGTATTTCAAAATAGGGCATATAGGGAACCAAAGACTTATTTTGTTAGCAGGTAAGGCAACGAATCTTATCTCTGAGTGTGTCTGAAGTCTCTGTTGTGTGTACTATTACCTGCTGTTGAATGAAAGATCCTTGGACTACATTTGATTCCATTATGCATTGAACATGACCCCCCTCCTCCCCCCACTTTCACTAATGGAAGAATTCTGTTTAATTCAGAATTTGTCCTAATGCAACAGCCTAAAAACTAAATTGACATGCTCCCAAAAAATTTGTTTGTAAAGGCAGCATCAGAAATGGGGCAAGAAAATCTTAAGAAGCACTAAAAAAATAAAGTTTTCCTTAACATTGTTTTCTGCCTTCAAACAGAATGGCACCTAAGTTTGAAAGGGACATTTTGTCCTTTGTTATCTTTAAATTCACTCTAAAAAAATCTTTTCCAGACAAGAGATTAGGTTCTGTTCAGTTGCAAGATGAATCCTTAGCAAAAACCAAAATCAAACAATTTTCTAGCAAAGAATGACGTCAACATGGACACTGCTACTATGAAGTCATTAGCTCAGTATCATTAAATAAGCACTGACCTTACATTTCACACTAGTAAAGCCCTAAAATAGCACTGCTGCAGTCAGCGTATTTCAGGCAGAAGCTTTGTTTAGCAAAACTAAACTTCACTGATGACTGAACTAGTGCTGAATGCCCTTTAAATGTAAATGTTGCCAAAAGCAGATCACACATAGTATTGTTTTAGAGACAATAGTTAAAACCTATTCTCTGCCCTTTTGTAATCCACTACAACATCAGGAGGAGGAAGCTCCCACCAGTAAAAGATTCAGCATTACCATTCTCATTGTTTTTATGACTGACAACTTTGTTTGTAAAATGGTGTGCAATTGTTCTCAAAACGATACTAAAGGTACAGCATACGAAGAATCTGCAACTTCAGTGAGAAATTAGTTCAACTACCTTCCAACCCACACTCCAGAGAAACATAAGCGAGCAGAGAGGCAACTGGGGCTGCACCACGTTGTCCTAGCACCATAAAAACCCAACACATTCTGACTGTAAAATGAGAATTTGTGTTAGAACTAAAGGAACTAAAGGAACTGTCAGAACAAAACCTTAACTACTTCTTTCTCTCTGGTATGTGCTATGACACATTTTTGGTTACTTGAATTATGAATTACAGGTTGGATTTTTTCCTTCAAGTGGGCCCCCAACTAAAAGATGCCAATGAGAGCAATTTAATTTGTTCTTAGTGTAAAATGCCAGCTGTAATTTATTGCAGCCCGTCCAGAACCTGTCCTGAAAAAAAGACAGTCTGTGTTCTTGCACTTTACTGCACTTTTAAGAGGGCCATTTAAGTGCCTCAAACTTTAAAACCAAAATAAATTCAATGAATTGGTGTTGTTTTGGGAGGAAATGAGATGACTTTAAAAGATTCAACAACCTCCACAAATAGAAAACTGAAGCACAGAGATATTAGATGTTTACAGAGTCCCCTAATTTCTAAGTACCTAGTTCAAATCAGGCCTAGGGCCTGAACTTTTTCAGTGGTATTAGGGCATCTGCAATTCTCTTTAGCTTCAGATGGAGCTTTAACTGCCCACCAGTTCCACAAATCAGGCCCTTGTTTCAAGCTGAATACCTGAAAAACGAAGCACAAACAATTAGCTGGTCACTAATGGAAACGGTGTGAACTGACTTATTTAACACCACACAGAAATTCTGGGAAGCTTTTCGTTTAAGAAGACACAATTCCCCAGATTACAGCCCACTACCACAAGGCCAAATTCTTTTCCCCAGGTCTGTACCTCGTTTGTGATTGACTTGGCTAATTTCCACAGTGACTAAAACAAGTGTCCTACAGACAATAGCCTAATTAGCCATCTATTTCTTGCACTGAATACTTTATCATGGTGGTTATGTAGTGGCAGTCCTACTTAAAAAAAACCAAAAAACCCAATGCTCAAAACAAGTCAGATTTTTTCCTGAAAGCTGCTTTAACTCTTTGAGATATAAGATGATAACAAGCTGTGTGAAGCAGATGAAGCTATTTGCTCTCCTTGGTGAAAGAAACTGAATTGAAATCCTCTGCCTTCCTGCCTCCTGACCAACACAGATTCCAAAAAGTTCCAAGTATTTTCATGCATGTCATGTTCTCAAGCCACAGAAATTTAGGGGAATATGGCAACATCCATGCTGTCTTGCAGGAGAAAACAAACACTTGAAAAAATTAAATACTAATTAAAAAAGAAAAGCGCCAGCAAAGTCTTCATTTATTGCTTGCATAGAAGAAGAAGTCAGGTGATAAGAGACCCAAAAATGTTCACTGCATCTCCTCACAGCAACTTCCAGTTAAGATTTGGCCTCACACTTCCACTGCAGAAATGGCAACTGCTGAGGCCTTTAAGCAGTACAGGGCACTTTAAGCAGTACAGGGCACTGAAGCTGTTCCTACTCCTTGCACAGCACAAACCACGTACGTGAGAACCAGAGGAAGGCAACAAGTCCCTGCTGTGTCCAAAGGTGTTTTGAGCTGACTTCTGGCACTGTATGACAGAAAGGCTCCAAGACAGGTAACAGTCCTACATACACTGAAACCTTACTACTGTTCCTTTGAAACAATTATTTCTAAACACTTTTTGCTAAAGGTACTATTTTTTTTGTTTTAGTATGGAATAGTTATGAGAGCTAATTAGGTCTTGGGGGTGCCACATTTTCTATTTTCTCTAGCAAAGTTAAACCCGTGTGCAATTCCTATGTGGCTGCTGTACACCCAAAAGGGAACCAAACCCGAGAAAACCCAAACTACAATTATATTAGAGAATGAAGACACGGACCACAAATATATTAGAGAATGAAGACACGGTCCACTCTGAAGCTCCAGCTCTCACTGCAAGCTGGTAGAGAGGGGTGATTCACAGTGACAGAAAAGAAGCCAACCCAGCTTGTCTCGGCCTGGGGCCTGAGATGTCCTGATGTTAATCGGGGCTAAGCCTCGTCTGTACAGCTGCGCTTTTACTGATGGCTGTAGAGAGGAGAGGGAATGCAGGCGAGGAGCTGGGTCGGCCCTGGGAGATCCCCGCTGGCACCGGGGGAGGTAAACCCACTCCTCCGCAGTGCCTGACGCCAGAGTCATGCACCGGAGGGGGAAGGCACCTGCCCTGAGCGCTGCTCCCGGGCACACACTCCGGCCTCCTCTGCCGGCCGAGCCGCGCACCCCGCCAGAGCCCCCGGGCTGCCTCTGGGGCCGGCTCCCGCTCGTCTCGGCCCGCACGGCCCCCCCTGGGCAGGCCCCCCTGCGCCCGCCCTCCTGCGGGCCCCGCGGTCCGTCCGGGCTCGTCCCGACGGAGCCGGGCAGCGGGGAGGGGGCCGGGCTTCACCTCGGGCCGTCTCGGTCGGGTAGAGCTTCTGCGCCTTGTTCAGGAAGCGGAGGGCGCGGTCGCGGTTCCCGGCCTCCAGCGCCTCCCGCGCGATCCCGATGCACTTCTCGGCCTCGTCCCGGTTCCCCTCCATGGGCTTCTCCTTCCGCCGCCTCCGCCCGCCGCAGCGCAGAGAGAAGGGGCCCGAAGCCAGAGCGGAGGCGGGCGGGGCGGAGGCGCCGAGAGCGGCGCGGGGCGTCAGGCGGGGCCGCGCTCACTCCGCAGGGCTCATCTCGCCGCTGCCCCGGCGCTGCCGCAGCCCCAGCGCGGCGCTCGCACCGGCGCCAGCCCGGCCGCCCCTTCCGGGCCCCGCCGCGCATGCGCCGCCCCGCCCGCCCGGGGCGCCGCCGCCGCCCGGCCTGGAGCGGCTGGAAGGGCTGGGAGCACTGGGATCGTCCCGGCTGGGAGCGTAGCTGCCCTCACGGCCGGCCCCGCGGGGGAGCCGGCTGCGATGGAAATGTACCGTGCGCGCTGCCGCAGCACTGCGGCCCCGCACGGTGCCACCGCTTCCCGTGCCTGACTCTGCCTCACGGTGCTCATTAGCAGCTGGCACCGGCTGACTGTAATTAGTGACAGCAGTTACAGCCCGCAAGGACTGCTGTGCTGCTAAGGAGGCACTCGGGTGCTGGTCCAGGGAAGCAGCGCAGCGCCAGAGGAGTGCAGCTAGCACAGGTCTCACCGGCGTCTCCGATCTAGGTCACCGCCTCCCAGCTACAGTGCTGCAGTAGAGATTACTGCCTCCAAGAGCTTAGGGAAACACGAGAGCCTGTTCTCAACAGAACCAAGTCTATTTGCAGTATTTCACTGATGACTGCAGTTCTGGAAGGCAGGGAGCTTGCTACCCCCAACCGCATGCAGTGACCATTCCCCTCTGTAACAAAAGGTTTCCCCTTACCACAACAGGCAGGGCATTGCTATATGAAATCAACTAGCAGAGTGGGGGACAGCTGAAGATGTGTCCAGACCCTCCCTGAAATCCACTGCTACTGAGGATCTACTGCATGGCACAATTTAAAGGGTGCTGCAGTACTGTCCCTGTTTCTGTGGATGTCTGTCCAAAGCTTTTGCAAGGTGGAACAGTTAAGGAGAGGCCCTAACACAAAATTATGTGAAGCATGGAATTTCAACATCCATTCAGCTTATCTTACACTCCTCCATGACAGACCCTCTCCCTCTATGAAGGCTGACACTGAGTAAAACTGGCCTTAAATAACATCAGCCTTTTACATGCCCTGCTAAAGACAACTTCAGCACACGACACAGCAGGTTCAGTTACGAAGAGCGTAACTTTACAGGACAAAGCGCTGTGCCCTTTCCCTACATGGTATTTACTGACTACAGTATTCTTAGGCTGTATTTCAAGATGCCCCAAGCCCAGCAGGAAGAGTTGTCAGTTACATGCTCTTGGAACAACTTCAAGAGCTGCACAGTGGAGACCAGACTTTCCAGTTAATGACAAAGAGACAAATCAGTCCTGACATAACATTTATTGAGTATTTCCACTCTAGTAGATGAAAAGTCTGTACAAAACCAAACATTTCCTTTACTTAAACCAATCTAAAAACAGTCGGCTCAATTACAACCCACTACAAACACAATAGCTTCTTTGAAGCCATGGTAACACTTAAATATGGTTAAGACTTCAACGCAGAAATTTGGTTTGTTAGAAAGCTCAAGGGAGCTTTAGCTTCTCAAAGTTAAAAAAAGGCAAAATCGTGTTTCACAGATACAGTCCACTGGAATCACCAACACTGGACAAATTAAGTACTTCGAGTCCTGAGATAACAAGGAATCCTGGTATCCTTTAGACAGTCTTCTGCTGTCCTTTCTTGCCAATGAGGGACTTGTGGATATGTGGTATTACACCTAAAAAAGAACAACAGTTAAGACCATGCTATTTTTCTTCGATGATTTTCCTAAACTTCATGCTTCAAATAAAATGACAACACTAACTTCAAGTCTGTGACAGTTCATGCCACCCAAGCACCCATAAACAACAAGCACTGACATACCACCACCAGCAATTGTTGCCTTGATCAGAGAATCCAGCTCTTCGTCTCCTCTAATGGCAAGCTGCAGGTGACGGGGAGTGATACGTTTCACCTTCAAGTCTTTGGATGCATTTCCCGCCAGCTCAAGGACCTGAAACAGGACCATTTTTTAACAGTTACACAATCAAGTGAGACCAACAGCACACTGTTAGCTGTTCAATTCTCTTCTCCATATACAGTGTCACTGCCAGTGACAACAAGACAGCAAACAATGTCTCTTTTCAAGGGGTTCCTCCTTTAGAGCTCCGCATTCAGTTTTCCCACTAACAGAGTTCTACAGCAGATATGACATGGTGTAATGGCCTATTCTCAAAGTTATTTCACGTACTGCATTTTTCCTACAAGGCACACTGCAGGAGCTGCTTGAAATGCAGAGTGATATTTCATGGTTTTTTGCTCTTTGAGACACTTTAAAAGTGTCTCAAAGCACATGAAGAGTTCACAACCCCATCCAAACTGGTCAAATACAGTAGGCACTTTTGGGGACTGACCAACTTGCTGGCACCCCTTGCAGGCATTTTACCTCAGCTGTCAGGTATTCCAGGATTGCAGCACTATACACAGCAGCTGTGGCTCCTACACGCCCATGGCTGGTTGTCCTGGACTTCAGGTGCCGATGGATGCGGCCAACAGGAAACTGCAAAATAACGGAAGCATGAACAGGCTGTGACGACAGAAAGGCTCTGCACAAAACCACATTGTGGGCAGCAAAATCCTAGTGGCAGAAGCACGGGCTGCATTTCAGAACTTGAGAATTCAGTTAAGAGACTGCATGCCAAACTCACATTAGCAACTTTCACGATTCCCAGCAATGGCCACAAGGGAATTGCTTTCCTCCCTGCATAGATATGCAAAGATCTAAAACCGCTGGGTATGTTAATGTCTGGTTCACGATCCTTACATCGTTCCAGACAACAGCCAGACAGCAGAATGTGAAGGTTTCACACTGCACAAATAAACCAACAGATGGAAGGCCCGCCTGACTTTCACTCACGCACACCTCAGCTCATGCTCACCTGCAATCCAGCCCGTTGGGAACGGGACACTGCTTTGGTCTTGGTCTTCCCAGAGTCCTTCCCAGCTTTCCCACCAGCCTGGCAATGCCAAGAGAAGAGCAGACGCTGACGTCTCCCACCGCGCATGCGCCCCGCGCCTCCACCACCCCCCCCCCCGCGCAGAGCCACCCGCGCCGCTGCGAGGCGCGTGCGCGCCGCCCGCCGCACCGCGCGGCACAGGCCGCTCCCCGCGCGCATGCGCGGCCCCCGCTCCCCATTCCCGGGGCGCCACTGCGCGTGCGACCACCCCCCCAGCCGCCCCCGCCCTCCCCCCCACCGAGCCCGCGCGCGTTCCCCCCCTCTCGTCAGCAGCACGGAACCCGCCCGGCCCCAGCCGCCGCCGCCCGCCCCCCGAGCGCCCCCGCGGTTCCTCACCATAGCGAACCGGAGCGCAGTGCCACGCAGGGGAAGGCTGAAGCAGAGAGCGTCCCGCACGCACCGAGCCCGGGCGACAGCACCAACCTGTCCCGACCCGCCGCGATTCAAACTGCGCCCACTCCCGCCTTCCCCCGGCCCTTTATATCCGCACCGCGCGGCCGCATCCGGGAACCCCGGCCTCGCCGCCAGCCAATGGCCGCGGGCGGGGCGGCCGCTCTGCCCCAGCGACAACCAATGGCGAGCTGGGGCGGGGCCGGGCGCACGACGCGGGGGGCGGGAGAGGCCCCGCCTCCCCGGACAGAGACACCGCGGGGGGGGGGGAGATGGCGGTGGGGGTGTCTCGGTCATGTCGCCCGCGGTGTGGGGCTTCCTTCGGCTCGGCGGCCTGCTCTGGGGCTGGGGCTCCGTGGGGTCACCGGCGGGAGAGACCCTGCCCAGAGTCACTCCACTCATTTTCGCGGGGCTCTGTATCGGCAGGTCCCGCTCCGAGCCTCGCCTGTGTGCTCAGATGGCTCCAGAGCCGCCGCACTGCCCGCGAAGCTTTCTTTCCATAATGGAGTTAATTGGCTTTGTGTGCAAAGCGCTTCAGGAGCAGCCTGGAGGAGATCATGCGCGGGTTTGGGATGAGGAGCTATTACACTGCCTTAGCGAGGACACGAGGCTGCTCAGGGGCGTCGAATAAAGCTCCCCCATCAACTCCTCAAAATTGCGGCCCTGGAGAAGTGCCAACGACTACACACGTGCTCTGATTTTTATTTTTTATCTCTAATACCTAGGGCCACCCAGCCTTAGACCCTTTTGTGTACCCGGCTATTTCACAAACTGCAGTTAAAAGCAGTTTATCATCCATTCTGTTCCAAGTGCAACAATTAACTTAGTGCAAATTTCGTCACCTTGAGCACTTTGAATCCCTGCCTGTGTTTCCCTAAAATGAAGCCAAAACCCACTTATTTTTTCGGGGTGCCGTTTTCAGTATGTTACCATTGAACCTCAGAGCTCGGCTGAGGGTGTTCTTGGTTAATCCTGTATTTTCAGCTTCAAAAAAGTAACATTTGGCTGTGCTCTTCCCGAACACAATTTGTGTTCTGTGTTATCTGAGAGATTTGCTGTTCATCTGTGCGCATGCAATGAGCTCAGGGACAAACCTTGGCCTTTAGATGGCTGAATAGCTCTTTAGAGGGAAGACAAGCTAGATCTATCATGCACTTTAACCTGATCACAAACCCACCACTTGGGTAGGTGTAGCTTCTGTTTCCTCTCCCTTGATATTGAAGAGTCCTGAGCACAATGAATACTCTTACAGCCAGATGTTAAGTGGCAGGTAGAGCTGACACCATAAAGTCCTCATGAGGATGCTCTCCCCACCATAACTTTTCCCCTTTATTCAGGTCTACAACAACCGAAGTACTCGGAGCTCTCAGACAGGAGGATATGTCCTTAAAGCTTCACTTAAAGGTCTTTCGAGCTGTTCACACACGTAGTAAAGATTTAAAACTTTGTGGCTCTTCTTCCCCAAAGTCTGACTGCAAATACTTGGTCCCCTGGCTATGAAGGACAGCCTAAGGCCACATCATCAATGCCTGCAAGCCCCTGTTTCAGTTTGGGCTTCTAGTCCCAGCTGCTGTCGCCTCCGGGTGGGGAGACCTACTTCCAGGCACAGGCACAGAGAGGCAGGACTGAATTGAGAGCAGGCACTCCTACATGCAGGGATCTGGCAGTTTGTTTTTATGTAACTGTCTGGTGCTTCTGTCTATTTGAAGCATCAGTTGTTTATACTCT